ATGACAGACATGAGGCATGCATATCTACCAGTATCAGTTTCAGACAAATATTCCTCAGGCGAGGTTTGTAGCAGGGAGGTAGCTGCATCATCATTGAAGATGACAAAGCGCGAATCTGAGATGTCTTGGCACTCAACCTTCAACTGAAACCTGTATAGTAAATGGCTAAGTGAGATTGTTGTAGGTCCATTCATTATAATTAAGCTGGGGAATTTCAACGGTATAATGTGTACCTCACAAAGTCTGTGGTGTCATTAGAAAGATAGTGACAATGGTTTGCAGAAGTTGGAATGTCCTTTATCTTGATGAGGCACCAAACAGAAGACTGGTGACACGCATTTTTAAGTTAGATATAGATTAAATAAACTGATTATTCAAGTGTGTTACTTTGTCTTACATTCTGCGGTGGGAATAGTTGTTGGTCGCCAGTCGTTAGTTTGAACAAAGTTGTTTTGGTGGCAGCTTATAACGAACATACACAGGGTTGGGTATGGATGAGTGTCCGATAGGCAAGGGTCGGTGAACATGTGAGTATCTGAAAATAGTTTAGTTTTGCAGGTCAGCTAACCGATTGAATTTCAGTTCATGATGCAAAACACATTTATGCATAACAGAACAGGTCGGTGAAGCACAAAAATAAAATATAAACAGAAGAGTAATTTGGCGATTTTGAAGAATGCTTACGTATCTTTGAGTTGTCTGAAACGATGTGTATACCACCCTTGTATTATGCGCGTTGAGGGGGTGTTCACCAGCCAAAGAGTTCCTTGATTTGTTTAACAGCATAACAAAGTCAGTACAGATTTTGTGCATGATAGAGCTTAGAGCAGGACAATGACATTTGCCCGAGTAACATACCTCTTGATCTAGTTACCGACATATTTGTGAACGCCAGCAAAATTGGGCCACGCTTTTCTGCTGCAACAATAGATGGTTGAGCTAGAGTATCATCCAGTGCCGTAAATTAGATCATTACGGTATCCCCACTAAAATAAAGGGAAACAGGTGCATTTATTCACAATGGGAGATATCAGTTTAGTGTAAGTAAATGTTGAAAAGTGGCATGGTGCTAAGGAAATGCATGTCATTCATTGATGTGAATTAGAGAAAAGGTAACAGAACAGTTCGCTGGCAACCATGAGGTACTAACATACAATCCTCCAGCACTATGCAGAGAGTTGTCAGCTCGAAAGGTTCCCCCTCTTCTTCTGAAATACTAATGAGGCGGCCGACCACATCTGGGAGAGATACGAAACAAAACTAAGTTCATAACTAATCACTGCAACTTTACAAACCAAAAAAGGATTCATTACCTATTACATCTGTTTTGGCATACAAATGATCTTTTAAAGCATTGTACGGAGTGGGATAGAAACCATTTCATGGGAACCATGGACAGTTTGGAAGCTCAGGCAGCTCCTGAAGGTCTGCTTGTGCTGCAATTTTCAGGTGAAAGTGAGGCGTGCATGTGCTTAAATAACGGCTAGGCCTTTGTGCAAAGACAGAGCGCACCAAGTAGATCTTCCCAACCCTTAAGAATCCAGGTATTTCTACTCCAGAAGATACTGGTGTAGATCCCTCAATGAGGTCCTCCTATAAGGGCATTAAGAATCAGTGAACCAATGCAAGTCGAAGTCAAACTCCAATGTTGTTGGTGGAGAGCTAAGCAGGGAATCCATACAATGACTATGGCATAGTTTGGGATGAAAATTGAAGTAATCAAAACATGTGGCAACAAAGATGAGTGAGCAAAAGCCATACTTGTCTATCGATCCAGAGTGAGTGAAACACCCGCTGAGGTGGCTCCAGTTCAGAACGATCCTCAATCCAGTAAATAGTAATGAATCCGTCGCAGGATGATTGGGCGTTCATTTAAGCCTAGGTGAAGGTCTCTGATGGTCATTGGTGTATCCCATAGCTCTGTACGAACACATTCGGAGATGGATTAGTGATTCCGTGGACGGAACATGAAAGCAGCTAACATTTACCGCAGTGTAGAGAACTGACCATCCAGAGCAAGCATGAAGGTGTAGTCGCTAGACATGGCAGCTGATGTCGATGCTGGCGAATAGTGTAGGCGTGGAGATGATGGATATGATCGATTTCAAGTGGAGAGCCAACGTTGAACAGGCAAATGGTGAGGCAGAACAATTTCTCCACATATAAGACTTCCATTTTGCTGTGTAAAAGGTACAGCGCCTGGCGAAAGCATGGCCTTTCTGGCGTGGTGTGTCATTCGTAGCGGTGCCAGTGTCCATTGCTGAGCAGTTACAATAGAGGGTGAGTGTATGGACACCTGTGGAAGCAAGGCAGTGCGAAATGAGATTTGCAGGGTAGGGATACAAATGGTCTTGTAGGGAGGGGATGACGATGCAGGTTCCGTGTAAAGGTAGAATATAGGAACACAAAGTAAGTCTGAAGGGATGGATAGTGTGTAGTAGTTCTGGAATGAGTGGGCTTTTCACTCATAGGCCTTGGGAAGGGCAAGGTAGGTTCATGGTAATAGCTGCATGCCAGTCTCGACAGGGCAGGAGGCATCAAAGGCAGGCAAAACCACTAAACAGTGTGACAACTCATTAGGTTGCTCACTACAACAGGTAACAATAGGACTGAGGACAACATTAGGTCTAACTGCAGACCACCTTTAACACGCCATCAGCCACCAAAGACCTTTTAAAAAGTGGTCAAACTAAGTCTCCCAAACTGCAGAACTGAAACATAGCAAGCATAAAAATAGTGTCATCAGCTTACTAAATTTATCACTACAACTGAGAGCTAAACTTTATTATGTAAATACAGTACCTGTTCAAACGAAAGCAAGCAAGATCAAGGAAATAACACTTGGTTTAGTTGAAAAATAGAGACAGAGCTAGATTGAAATTGCAGTTGCAATTTCCAAGCACTGTATCTAACGGATCCAACTGAACCACACAACAATGGCAGTAGAGGCTGCATATCTGACAACTCCATGTTCCATATAAAAAATTCTCATTATCTCTAGAACACAACATCAATAAAAGGAAGGCAGCAAATAAAGTTTGCTAGTGTGTTTCCCAAATTAAATACATTTGAAAGAGGGAAATAATATAATTACTCGGGAACCAAGAACAAAGGGAATGCACCAGCAGTTAGCACTTTAGAAAGGAATATCTGGATAGAATTATAAGGTGGGGTAAGACCATCATAAAGATGTGTAAGTACAGTTCATTACTTGACACATAATCGTTTCTAAATACAACAGGATTGAGAACAACATCAGTTCTTTATGATTGTAGTTAGAGTAGTCTGTGCTGGCTGCGTATGCATAAATAGTACTGTCAAACGCATCCACAGAAGTTAAGTGGTGATATGCAAAGGCATCGAGGCAGATAAGAAACGGGCCTGAAAGTTACGCTTGTAGTTAGGCAGCTGTCACTGGCGACCACATTCTGCAGCAAAATTCCATTCCCACCTACCATGGAAAACCGTTACATTGCATGAACAGCTCCACAGTACATTTAGTCGAAGGAAAGATCGTAAGTAACAATGCAGCACATGATTGGGCCATACTGATTAGGTACAAAAAAAAATAGAACTTGTAAATGATTCGTGAGGCAGCAAGAATCATGCAGTGTTAGAGTCTATTTATCCTTCATGTCACAGAACATGGCTGGCTGAGATGGATGAGAACTATCTGCATACCTCTACCATCCCAAGCAACACTAATCTCCGTATGCTCCTCCAGTATAACCTGCCGCCAAAGACAGACAACAATAACATGTTAGAAAGCTAATTTCAGCTTACATGTTCATAGTGATAGGAAGCATATGTTCAGACGTACCATGTGATGATACTTCTGTGTAGAGCTCGGTGTAGACTACATTTTTCGTGCGCCCTGCATCTAAGTTATCATCGTTATGGATGAGGAAGCGAAGGCCCTCGGCTGATCGCACCCTAGAAACAACAACATATAGCTGGCCTTGACTAAACACAGGTTCCGGTAAGAATATTCCTGCTCTTTCCAAAGTTTGTCCCTGGCTCTTATTGATCGTCATGGCATAGCAAAGTCGGACTGGAAACTGTCTTCTCTTCATTATGAAGGGCCATTTTTGGTCACTGAAATTGAGAGCGATTCTTGGAATGACAACTACTTTACCCTCATAAGTACCAGTAAGGATGACTCCTTTGATCACGTTTTCCGCAAGCTGTGTTATCATCAACCGTGTCCCATTTCACATGTCGGCTGGTGGATCAATATTCCTGAGTAACGTGATGGGTGAATAGAGCTTTAGACCAAGTTTATGCTTAGGCATCCCATTGAAAGATAGAGAGTTGAGGAATTCGACCGGGTAAAGATCATCAAGTTGTGAATTATCTGTTGTTTCAGTACAAAGGCTGTCTATGCTGTAGTAGGTTTTTGTTTCTTCGGGAATGTAAGAGAGCACCCTTGAATTAAGTGCTGATACAGTTTCATTTGTGGGTGTCACTATGGCACGAGTTTTTAGGAAGGTGATTGACCTGTAAGAAGAAATCAGGCCATGGAAAACAAAGTTAATAATTGGTTGGATGGAATCGCCATCTGGAGCAAGAACTAAGCATTGAGGAATCTGTGTCCAGTTAGGTTCAGAGGCTCCATCCAAGGACACAACAGGTGCGATTCCATTTCCGATGGCCAAACCCCACTGCGGGAATGTCATGCCATTGAAGATCAGCGTTTCATTGACAGCATCATCATTGATCCGCATGTTCTGCTGCAAACATAAAAGGTGATAGTGCAACCATAGTGGAGATTATACGATGGACGCATTAAGGGTGGCCTCGCGCCCCCCACCTGGTATAACCGGTAGGATTTGTCTAAAATCCCCACCAAGAAGAACTGTCTTCCCACCAAATGGTTTGTAAGAAATTCCTCTAGAAGGCATATCCATAATGTCACATAATGTCTTGTTAAGAGCCTCGAAGCAAAACCGGTGTGTCATGGGAGCCTCGTCCCACACGATCAAGGATGTTAGCTGCAATAATTATGCAAGATGTGTGCCCTTCTTGATGTTGCAAGCGGAAGAAGAATCAATATCAATTGGAATTTTGAATCTAGAGTGTCCAGTTGATCCATCCGGGAGCAGGGTCGCTGCAATTCCTGATGATGCGACCACCAAAACTATCTTCTGTTGACTGCGAAGCTTTGCTATAACTGTGTTGTATAGATATGTCTTTCCTGTACCACCATGTCCGTAGAGGAAGAAAAACTTACCACTCCCTTCCTCCACTGAAGCCATGATTTTGTGATATGCTTCAGCCTGTCCATGGTTTAAGGTCGAGAAGATACTGTCTGCTGTGCGTTGCTGCATGCAGAGATCATAATTGAGCTATTGACAAATCAGTCTATTTCCAATCAAGCTCCCAGCAGCATCATCAGGAGAGGGAAAATCATAGTCATCAAGAGTCTTGTAATGGGTATGTAACAAAGTCTCGATATGTTTGATGACCTCACTACGCAGATAATTGGCTGGTGGCTGAAAATGTGGGAGGTCCAAACCACGACGGGTTTGATAAGAGAAGTCATCTGCAAAGAGTTTCCAATTATCTTCAAAGAGTTTTCTAGGTTGAGCAACCTCAGAATGCACCAATATGAGGACAAATAGCGACCTTAGCAAAGCCGGCATTCCCCATTGGCCTACCTCTGCAATTGTTGCATGAGGCTCGTCATCATCGGTTAGGAAGCCACGTTTAAGACATGCATCTTTGTAGTCCTTGCAAAGCTGACCATCAACCGTCATAAGGTCCTCAAAACTAGTTGCACCACTCACTTTTGTCAGTAACATTCGCAAGAAGTACACGTCCGTTGTTCCGGGTGGGATGAAGACAATACGACCAATAACATTTCCCTGCTTTCGCATGGCCTAGAGCTTTGGTCGCACATGAAATGTATAGGCAGCAAGGATATCAGCATACAAAATTGTCCTGGCTCGTGGATCCCTGCAATTAAGAGTATAATACTCTGTCAACATGGTCTTTGCCTTTTCAGGATCCTCCACCACTGATCGTAGAGCCGTATCAGGGTTGTATGTAACAGTTTGCTGGTCTTTCAAGTGCACAGGAAGAAAAACGGCAGATGGTGTTCGTTCATGTATTGGAAACTCAAACAGGCGCCAGGTTGCTTCGAACGAAGATAGGACGCGACAGTCAAGGTATTGTTTTATTTCGTCTCTCACTTGCAGTGCAGGCCTGCTAGAGTTAGCTGACTGTTCGACTGGACAATTTTCAGCAACGACGGTAGCTCGGTCAGGGCCCTTTATAACGTAATTGAACAAATACTTTATCAACCTCCCTTTATGACAGATCTCTGCATTTATATGAGCTTGAAACATGACCAGCCAGTTTTGGTTGTAGGGGACTACATGTCGATTGTCGAGAATGCCATTACCCTTGTCAAACGTGCGTCCATCATTCCGACGACGGTAAACTATGTAGCCATTGTGATCATATGTAGTCTCTGAATTGAAAGCCTTAGGAAAGAATTTCTTACACTTTCCTTCCACCATACATGGAGATTTGTGGTTGGCCTGGCCACAGGGTCCATGCATCATGAATTTACCAACAGTAGCATAACCAAGAGGGTCCTTCTGTGGATCTGGAAGTTCAGCATATATGGTTGCATCAATGGCTTCCACAGTTCTGAGCTTGGCAGTCTCATGCAACCAAACTAAAAGATGGACATGTGGCAACCCTCGCTTCTGGAATTCAATCGTGTGTATATCTATTTAATAACGTAAATGGTGAGGGTATATACAGGTTGATGCACAGTTATAACCTTGGGAAAATCCAAGAAAACTTTGAACAATACTTGATTTGTACAATCTTAGGTACACATACTCATTGTCGAGTATGAGAAACTAAAATGGACAACTACACATTGAATGATACTATTAAGTAGATTATTTAACAGTTCCCAGATTCAATTGAGAGAGGAGATGATGTAAAAAGTTATATGAAACACAGATGGAGACAATATTTAGCTGTAGTTAACAGTAGGTTTAAGCTGTTTCCAACGCCAGTAGTCAATACACTATTTCATTCGCAATGGTTAAAGCTTAAGGGGAAGGCACGAAATTATTCATACTGTCTTATCAAATTTGGTTTTTGAACCATCCAACCATTATTCTCTGGTTCAGCAACTCCAAAAAGGTTCATTTTGAACTTTCTCCAATGAAGTAACCAAGATTTAGAAGTGCACGAAAGAAACATCAGAAAGGCAGGCATTACCAAGGTCCACATCTTCTAGGACTTAAAGAAACGATTCAGTGATTCTACTTTTAAGAGTTTCAGCATTTTCCATAACTAACTTGAATTTTACTTGGCCAAAAAAAAGATATTGTACCGAAATTATATAGCATGCCTTGTTAATTATGACTGTTTTACTTAAGTATGCACACCACTTTTCTTTAATCTGGCTAAATCCGGATTCTAATTCAATGATAGAAAGAAGACAATCTTTACTAATATAAAAGAAAAGAGAGACTGAGTTGGGGCTAAAAGCAGCAACCAAACCGGCGATGTATACATTTTAAATATAAGGAAGAACATAGTAATTGTATGAAGAACTTACCCGCCACTGTTTTTCCAAAAAATTGATGTCGGTGAAGCTGCTCCTTCAAAGCAACTACTTTAAGCCTAAATACCCGAACAACTATATCGGGCTTATCCTCCGGTTTGTTACCAACAACCCCGGCAAAAGCTCTGGTAATTTCTGGCCACTGTGAATTGCAAGTGAACGTTATAAAAAGGTCAGGATTTCCTATGCGCCTGCAAATTGCCATGGCATCAAGATAGTGGTGCTTCATGTATCGAGGGCCACCAGTGTATGTTGCTGGAAGAATTGTGCCGACGTCCTTCCCGGTAGTATCACCCTTACTGTAAGCATCGTATAACCCTTTGTACAGCTCCGCACGCAGTATTTTTTGGTTCAGTCGGAGGAACTTAAGTCAATTTTTTTCGATTGTTGAGAACGCATCGACACAATAGTGTTGCAAGGCTTTACCCCCGCGCATCAAACTCTGGCCTTCGTTTTCCCGGTGCTGCAAACGAAATGCATGAAATTCTCGTTCAGTCACATTCTTCCTCTTCGCAGTAGGCGAGACATGAACAAGATGATACTTTATCCCCAAATGGAACCCGTCTTCCCCATAAGGGAACAGGACAGGAAACTGTAGGGCATGAAACTTCGGATTGAGACTGTCAATTCATTGCAACCCTTCTGCACGGTGATTTATGATAATATCCCTATCATCATCCTCAGCATTGAAATCGCCGGGTATAAGGCCTGCCACATCGGAACCAATAGGTAGATCATATTGCCAATTTTTCTCTTCTCGACAGCCTGTTATTCTAAGACGCAGGTTATGATTGGCTGGATCCTGGACCTCCCTAGCCACTCGACGAAAGCTCTTCACCAGCTCATTTGTTTCATCAAATAACTTGATCAAACCCTCGACGATTTGAGGTCGCAGAGCAAGACTTGTTGAGGAGAAGTTAAACAGTCGATCACCTACCTCATCATCTGTGTCAAATACATACAACTGCGAGAACTTTGCTTTCATCCCTTCTAGAGGCAACAGAGAACCCATGTGATGGTAATTTGCTCCACAAATTACAAAGGAGTAAGTCCCAGAAGAGTTGGTCACTCGCCGATCCAATTTAGCACCAACAGAGCTCATAGAAAACATACCATTGTATGGCCTTATTTCCTTTCGAAAGTGTTTCGATTCTGATCCACCATTTACGTCCAAAAGGGAGTCAAGGTAGGGGGTATGCCTCAACAAAGGAAGTGCCACTTTACCATGACTGCAGCAGAGAGCAAAGATTGGCATTGTTGTGTGCCGGTGTCTTTCAAGGCGTTCGACATACCAAAACATAGCTCCACAATAAGGACATACACATTCTGGAAGGCCAAAATCTATAACAGCATCATCCCAAAAAACATCACCAAGCCGATTCCTAGTAGCGGGTTCAGTATCAGTAGAGGGGCTCGTAGGCGTGGATGAGCAGGCACCGATCTTATCAGAAGGTTGGTGACTTGCCCCGACATTGTGAGATATGTAACACGGCTGTGCGTGACCATTTTTGGTTTTGTTCGAAAACACCTCGGACATATTCGAGGCCGAATTTGGTTTCTTTCGCTTTCGTGTAGACCCAACTAGCGTGGAAATGACTGAATTATGTCGACCATTTGGGAGAGTGGCACCTTGCAGAGGCAATGCATAAGGCGATGACGGTGAGGCTACTCTCGTACCCACCCCTGATGGGTGTTGAACAGCAGATCTAAAGTGAAGCGGAGTAAACGTCGGCTTCCTCCCTCTCCGATCACCAACAACGGTCGTGGAAGAGGCTGTCATCGGACAGAACACACAGTCTTTTCTTGGGGAGGAAGGCAACTTGTACACAAAATAAAATAGGCTTGCGTAATGTTTTAGCCTCAATTTTACAGTAGATATTCACACTTGTGCATCGAGTAAATGGGAATCAGTTGTAATATGATAACATAATAGGTTTTGTATGTAAGAAATGAATTGAGGGCTTAAAGAGGTAAACGTGCATATGACTCAGGTAAAAAGCATCAAGAATAAAGCATAATGTGTGCTGGTTTTGTGTTTTGTAAAAGCAAAGGGCAAGAAGCCAGGGCGAACAACGATCAACTATGGTGTGAAGGAGAGTGCAGGCAATTGTAAAGTGAACCCCCGAAAACTGAACATAAGGAAAATGCACCTGTTTCCCCCGAATCGGAAAGAACCTGATTTCAGAATTTAAACCTTCGGTTGAATGAGTGAGTGAGTGGTTTCCCTAACACCATGACCAACACAGATGGAGATAGAGTTTCTGCAGCAATAGTATGAGAGACAGATTATTGGAATGCAGCAGGCAAAATGTCCAGCAAAGTTAAGGGAAAACAGTGAAATGAATAAACATGGAACCCTCTCACCATGTTGGAGCTCTAGCCGTAGGAAATGCAACAAACCAGTTTTTTTATGGTGTGATGGTAAACACATGAGGGATTATGAATGGAGCATGTTAAGGAAGATGATGGTGGTCAGAGATTGAAAGAAGTATGACATTCCAAGGGAGTGGTGATGTATACCTAATCCAATCAATCAGAGACCCCCTTTGTGACAAGTTGTATGTAAAGACTTCTTCCATGCAAGGTACACAGAAGTGTAGACCATGCTGTGTTTTTAAAATTTGCATAACATATAAGTGTTTTATTCTAAATGTGCATCAAATTATTTACTGCATATCACTACTGCAACTGTGGAAAGTAACAATTATTTATATAATCGATAAAACAAAGTTAATAAACGCCTGATTTGGCTCCATCATGTGTTTGACGATGCAAAAATGTCGGAACACAAAGCATTTTTCAATTTCTGTTGGTTATTTTCTGTGAGGTAGAGCATGCAAATGTTCATCTATATCATAAAGCACTGAAACCAGAGGACGGAACAGGGCAGCGACAAAAGTTATGATGGGTGTAGGCAAATAAAAAACGGGTAAAGGGTGAGAAGTGAGAAGAGTGATTTGGTAACCAATGGGTAAAGGGTGATCAAAGGACTGCAGAGAGGGGTGTGGTAAAAAACTAACCATGGCAACGGTCTATGGTTTTCTGGAACATACGCATCAGTAAAAATTCCTTTTTTCTTCTTGTCGAAAGGTACATCGACAATGCTGATCTGTGCCAGCGGGGAACTCAACCTACAGATAAAGAAAGAAATCGACCCCGAGTAAAAATGGCGCAAGGTAGAAAGGAGCAGAGGCGAGCGATTTAAGCACCACAAATAATAGAAACACAACATAGGCGGAATTAAAAGAACGTGGTGCGCACTGGAGAAGTTCCTGGATGTAGCGAAGGGAAACCATGCAATAAAGGAATATAGTTTCTAAAGTATGAGAACAACCAACATGTAAACACAACACAACAAAATAGGTTTCGCAATGACGTTCACTCAAGGCAGGACCATGGACAGATGCATGTACCAAGGGCAAGAGAACATACCTAGAGGATTCTGGTGAGTGGAAGTTGGGCAAGGGCTCTTGCGCGGACAATTTCTCGGACGACTTAACTGGCGTAGTTGGGTTTTGCAAAGCGGCTAGGACGGGATTGCAGGTGGCATCCACTGATGCCTCAGCGACTCCACTGTAATGATGATAAGAGGGAGCATAAGGTTAGCAGACCTTGAAATGGGTTCTTCCAAAAAAATGCACCATGCGAGGGAAAGGACGTGGCATAATCTTTGAAGGGAAAAAAGTGTATAAATAGTGAGTATGCACGATAGTGAACATCAAGAAGCTTTGAAGAACCTGATAAGAAGACCATGCGGTGGTCGGGGTGCTGTGAAGACCTCGCCATCTTCATGAACAATGCCACCGAGGGTGGTGCCGCTGCATAGTAAAGGTAATAATTAGGATTTCATACAAACTGATGGTCAATATCGTTTTTCCGATTCCAATAGAGTAGCAATAGATACTGATGGTGCGACCAACACACCTTAAATGAGTAGATCGAAGACGCTTGGTGGGGGACTCGGGCACTGGTACAGAAGAGCTAGGCAAAAAGGTTTGTTGGCTATGTTTCAGAAAAGGCACAGGAAGGTGAAGATGGCATAATAGTAAGTCAACTAACGTGTGTGTGGAAACTACTGGATGGTACGAACCTTGAGGCAATGGAATTTGCAACTGTGGCGATGACATTGCTTTTCTTTTTATGGAAATAAGGTCCATGCGGTTTCCTTTCAATGAAGTCGAGCGGCTCCTCCTTCTCAAAACCTGAGACGCAAAGATCATCCAGCGGATGAGAGACTTGCCCGACAACAAGATTGACCATGAAAACATGTTGCTGGCCGACCAACTCCAGTACCTCTGGAGGATAACCGTTAACACGATCAGGGGAAGCCGCAAACAAAGCATTTGCGGACACCAACAGAAGTGTTTCTGCAGTTTTCCCCAACAATAGAAACGGAGCGCATGCCGAACCATCATCCTAACCCATCAGCCGAATACAAAAGCTGTGTATGGAAAACCACAGCAAGCACTTGCCACACATCAGAGGTTATGAAAGCGTAGGGGATCGGTTAAGAGAATTGGTCAGATGGTTTGGACGTACCACTGTTTCAGCTGATGCGGGAGGACCGTTGCCTCACATTTGTCACACTAGAATGGGGCATCACGACGAACCGCCGCTTTGCAACAGATAGCACAACCGAGGTAGCACTAGTCTCGTGTTGTATCTATGTCGGTAATTGTGACCTTGCAGCGGAACTTGCCACCCTACAATTCCAAAGAAACCTAAGTCAGGCAACCCAACAATGATAAGCACATTCATTTTAGTTTGGGTGACACAGTAGCCACAACGGAGAATTAATAACCATTGAAGCAGTGGACTGAATGAGCTGAAGTTCCGCAATTGTTCGGAAGGAATCACGGTAGATTGTCAAAGCCTTCTGAGGAGTGTCACATTCAGTTGGTAAAATTCCTATGGTCCCTATAGCATCACCAAAGCTGTAAAGAATAGATTAGGGTGGAGATTTAGGCTAGTAACGCATAAAGTTAAGCAGAACTATGCTTGATTCTCCACTTACTTCACAGCCAGGGACTGAGTCTGCAATACCCTTGGGGACACAACAATGCGAGTTGCAGAGGTATTTGATGCACCTACATTACCTGGAGATAAATAGTATAAGAAAAGTCTAGAAGGTGGACTGACTATACGAAACTATGATAAAGACAAGAAAAACGGTGTGCAGGTTTTCATAAGTTGCAAGAAGGAAACTATAGCCTTGATTAATTAACCGGGAAGAAGTGGGGCAAGTCATACCTCGCCAAGTCGAAAGATTCAGGCTAGTAAATGCAACAATAACCGGTGCAGCTGCGTCCATCTGAACCAGTTCTGGAAGGGCAAGCCGATCAGCAAAATCTGCCCACAATGTGATCGGCAGAGTCTTTTTGCTGCAACAGGTAGGAGCCACATCATAGTTGGGAAAGAAACACACGACCAGCAAAGAACAATGTGGAAGAGAGACCTACCGTTCATTCTCAAGTACAGTAGTTTGCTTCCTTCTGGTTCTTTCTTGCTTTTGGAAATAAGTTACAGGCGTGACAGAGATCAGGCGCCCAACAACATCTAGTAAAAGGTAAACAATTTAGAAACATGAGACTAAGTAACCTAAGAGGAAGCAAGGAAGACTTACCCACTAAAAGCTGAGGCGTGACAGCAATTGGTTCAAGTTCTTCCAACTGACGGAACTCAAAACTATTGGCACAGAAACTGGAATCGTCATAAGGAGATGGAAGGAAAGCCGTGTTGTAAGTGAACTGCAGGTTCCGATCGTTGGAGCAAGGAGCCCACCGTTTCCTGGATTCTCGCTGGGTAAATTGGGTGATGTAGTAAATCCCTCCAACAGCGAGACTTTCTTGGAGGCCGGAAGCTAGCTGTGCGGGCGCGAGTCTCTGTACCAGCACAACCTGAGGATAGAAAAGGAAGAGTATTGAAAGGGCAATCAATCCCAGAACTATTTGCTGCTGGGCGCACGAATCAATAACATAGGGTACGAACCTTCTCATCTGTCCACAGTGTCGCGAACTCGGCAAAGTAAGGCCGCAACGGATTGCCGCCCATCCAAGTGTGGAGTAGTCGTAGTTTCAGCGTCGGAGCTTTGTCCGTCCAGGCCAATTTGGAAAGGACAGTGTAATTCATTGTTGGAAGCTGAAGAAAGTTTGAGCGCAAGAAAGAGGGGGTGAAAGAGCTTTTTTCAGTGAACAAAGAAAGGGAGGAAGGAAATTTCAATTCCAAGTTGCGAGCGGCGTTGAGAATGGGATGGTAACAGAAGACGGCACCTATGTGGGAAACTTAGTGGGGTTTTCTCTGTTAGCAACAAGGAGCCGACACCTCTTTAGCAAACTCAGTAGGTTTCCCCTGTGTGTCGTACAAACTGACTGGCTGTTCGCGTGTATACAGAGGTATGCAAAAGCAGCATGGGCAGCGGCTTGGAGGAACAGATGCAGAGAGCAGGGAACTGGAGAAAAGACAGTCGAAGTTGACGAAATGAGCAGGGGGAATGGGGGGAAAGCATGGACGGGCAGCTGCAGCAGTCGAGACCCGCTAGCGGGTAGGCGAGGAGTTTTTTGATTTGTGGAAAGTTTTAGGCCTGGACGCACAACACGCCAAAAATTGAAACAATAAAAGGGCTTTTTGACAAAAAAGCGTACTCAGTAATTATATATATATAAAAGAATAAGAATACTCGAAAGTCGAAACACTGTAATGCAGGATTTCCAGATTTTCCATTAAAAAACGCCATGTTTTTTTCCTTTTTCCGGGCCATGTACAACCCTATTGATGAGTGCATTATGTTTGCCAGGCTACCGCTATTCTCCACTTCCCATTTTAACGCCGTCAAGTCACACACTCGCTCACACCGCCGTCAACTTCTGTAAGCTTTAGCTTCTCCAATGCCCCCACCACCCAACTCGCTCCCAGCTAAAGTAAGAAGAGAAAAGGACTTTCATTCTCTTTCCTTTTTTCTTTCAAAATCGGTAACTCAGCTCTAACTCCTCGCATTTCTGCAACCCAACAACTGCTGCTGCTGCTGCTTCTTGTTTCAGTTAAATGCGAGGCTTCGTTTTGGATTCCCGCCTCATCCTCTCCGCTTGAGATGATGCTCTCCCACCTGTAGCTATTCTGAGTGTCTCCTTTCTTGCTTTCCCGATTATGGCTATCCGGGGAGTTGATTTCAAGTGGTAAAGTTCCATCTTTTTTTTTTTTTTATGCTGTTCATAGTAGCACGCTTCAAATTGGTGAGATTTTCTCTTCAATGGGTGTGTAGCAGCTTGTCTTACATTAAGAATTTTGGGTTATTTCTCCAGGTACGATGGCTTCTTCTTGTCCATGCTGGCGACGAGCGTGTATCCTTGAATTCTGAATCGTTTTTCTGTGTTTGTTTCTTGAGGTTCTCTCAGGTTTTCTGTATTTGAATCTCTAAAGTTATTTTCGGAATTGGGAATTGGGTGTTGTTCTTCCTAAATGGTTCCCCGCTGACAGAATAATTGTTGCCATCAATTGGAAGCGCTATCATTTCTGTACCCACCCTCTGCACATATGGATTGTGGTGAGTCTCTCTCTCTAGTCTTGTGGATCCGACTGTTTTGAAAGCTCCAGTTTAGGGGCTGGAAAAAGCTTATTCCATCTTTGCTGCTGCAGGTTGATTACACTACCGTGTTTGTGTTTCGGCTGTTGATGTTCATAGATAATGGACTTGCTGCTGGAATGGTATTGTAAGTATCATTACTACATTGGCTCTTGTTATTCAGTTTCTGTAGTGAATCTCTTTGGGGATTTGGACCCTCGTTCTCTTTCTGAAGTTTTAATGAATAGGTTCTTTGAGATGATATATGCGAATCATTTCTGTTGTCTATGCTTGACCCACTGTGAAAAATCAAATGATGCGTTTGTTTTCACTCTAATTCAATCGCATTGCCTTCAGTTGATGTTTGTTCACAATTTCCTCTAGACTGTGATGTGTTAAATTGTTACATCGTCTCCATTTGTGTCTTTCACATGACGGTAGGGATTTTGGATGGCAGCAGAGATATGCCCTTTATTGTGGAAGAGTGGTGGTTATTTCAATCTTGTCGATGATGCTCTATCCGTTTCTATGGGCTTGGACTGTGATTGGAACACTTTGGTTCACAAGCGCAAGAAATTGTGTAAGCTCCCTTTCCTTAGATTCCCTCAATTTAGTTTTTGACTTTCTTTGAGTCATCTTACTGGAGGTCATGTGGAATCTTATCTCATCTTCATGCAGTTGCCAGAAGAAGGTCAGAAATGGGGTTTCCTTATTTGGTTGCTGTTCAGCTACTGTGGACTCGTATGCATTGCTTGCATGTGTATTGGAAAGGTATTCACGCTTCTTAGTTTCTTAGTGCCATGCTTTTTCCGATTGAGCTGTCTTGTTCTATATCATCTTTCTATCACGTATATACAGCTAAGCAGCATACCAAAGTGTTTCTCTATCTGTTTAATGTTCCAGTATACCCTACCTATTTATGCATGTACTGCAATTTATTTCCATTGCAGTGGCTAACTAGAAGACAAGCACTGGTTGCACGGGCACAGAATGGAGTTCCTGTTACAGAATATAGGGTATTTGGTTTGAAAATTTTGATTTGTTGATCTTGTTCAAAAGTTCTTGGATAATAATTTCTTAAAACTAATTGAAGATGGTTCATTTACTCATCCATCCACCTGCACCATATCCCAGGTTATAGTCGACATGATCCAGGTTCCGGACTGGGCATTTGAAGCTGCTGGTCAGGAAATGCGTGGTATGGGTCAAGATAATAATACTGCATACCACCCGGGACTTTATTTAACTCCTACTCAGGTGGCTGCTTCTGCTTCCATAACTCACTCTTCGAGTCTTGATATCCCATTAAAATGGTTGTGGCAAGCTGATAGTTCTCATTTCACAGAGAGAAGCTGTCGAAGCTCTGATTCAGGAGCTACTAAAGTTCAGGCTAAAGGTTGTTCCAACAGATTGCAGTGAATGTCCAATCTGCCTAGAAGAGTTTCGTGTTGGGAATGAGGTTTAACAGCAATTTCCTTAGTATTGTTCAGGGATTAATATCACAAGTTGAAACAGCAGATAACTAACATGCTTTCGTTTCTTGTAATTGTCCAGGTTCGTGGCTTGCCTTGTGCCCACAATTTTCATGTTGAGTGCATAGACGAGTGGCTGCGGCTGAACGTGAAATGTCCGAGGTGCAGGTGCTCGGTGTTTCCCAACCTCGACCTCAGTGCCTTGTCCAATATAGAGAGGTCTTCAACACCAACCACTGTAACTACTTCCACCCATTACATGAGGTCACAACCTGCAAGCGAAAGCTACCGATTGAGGTTACAAGGCTTCCTTAGGCCGGTCCGTAGTGGTGAGGTCAGACCTCCAACTCCGCCAACTGATGCAGCAAGCAATAGTGCTGAAAGTGATGTAGCTCTGGCAATCGAGCAACCTGAAACGAGTGAACCAGATGGTCATGATCATGTGGGTCAGCTGATCCAAGATCAGCAGTAGATAATTGGTGTGTGAATCTCTCGACTTCTCAACTTCTAACCATCCCTGCTAGAGAACCAAAATATGGGTTTGTCCATTAAAGAGTGATGATCAGCGTGGTCAAACCAAGTTCTTCCGTTTGTCATTTGCAGCCCTGTTGTCTTGATGCGGAACTTGCTTCATTTTGTCTATAAGATCCCGTGAAGAGACGCTAGGAACTGTGTTGTGATGTAATGACTAAGTTCTCACTCATCGCTATAACTGTAATGATTCAATGCATGATAGATAGGAATGGCAACAAAACCCGAACTCACGGGTACCCATCCGACCTAACCCGGTCAACGCGGGTAAAATCCGTGTTGACGGGTTTTGGGCTGGGTTTGGGTTTAAACCCATTCACTATTCACCTGGTTGGGTTTGGGTTTAGGTAAATCTGACACATGGGTATCCGCCCACACCCATATAATTAATTTTCTCGGCATATTTCATATTCTAAACAACTAATCTTATTTATGTTTGTGGAGACATGCCTAATTTTTTCTTTCTAGTTATGTAGTATGAAGTTGATGTTATCGAGTGGAGAGTGAAAAACTTAATTGAAAGGAAGAAGCTTTCAATTAATCATGTTATTTATGGATAATTTGTGATTTGCTTCAATTGGTGTTGAACAATTTGTATAGTTAATTTGTGATTTGTTTGAATTTTCTAGAATGGTGTTTTATATATGGATAATTTGTATTGGGAGATTGATATTTGACTTAATTTTGATAGGAATTTGTTATTGTGAATTTTTTACGACAAAAACCCGTGGGTACCCATGAACCCGCGGATACCCAGCGGGTTGGGTTGGGTTTGAGTTTTTCAAACCCAGTGGGTTTTACCCCAGATTTTTTTCAAGGATAAACCCATGGGTTTGGGTTTGGCAAAACCCGACCCAACCCAACCCATTGCCATCCCTAATGATAGACCCACTATTGACGGTTCAGTTGAAATGTTATCTGTTGCTTGGTATGGTTGGGACTAAGGTAGGTAGAGATTAGAAAATGACTAGGCGGATTCTCGTTTGATTGTTGGATTTGAAAAATGAGGGTTTTGAGTTTTAAAAATCTTTGGATTTATGATGGATTTGTTGCCTTATGGATTTGGAAGAGTTCATTGTTTGTTTGGTTAATTTTTATCATGGATTTATCATTGATTTGTCTCACAACTTTGCCTTCCATGATCAAATCCCAAATGAAATATGGGATTTACAAATCCGTGCGGTCCACGGATTTGGATCTAAAAAAAGGGTTCAAAACTGTGGCCTCCATAGATTTGTGTCACTTAGCAAACAATGGAGTTGTCTCAAATCCATGATGCTTGGGATTTGGGTGCCAAATCCATTACCCAAATCCCACAAGCAAACGATACCTAAGTGTCTGGTTGTGGTCGAAAGCATATGATATCGATATCCAGATTCCAGGGTGTTCCGAAGTGCAAATGAGGTCATTCTGTAGTTTAATGGTTTATGAGGTGTTTCTTTAATGGCAAAATACACTTCCATAGCCATAACTATGTACTTAATGACAATAATAGCCAATTTTTTAAAAATACACTAATATAGCCACACTTTTGAAATTAAATTGACAAATTTAGCCATTTCCGTTAAATACGTTAACACCGTCAATAACACCGTTAAAAATGTTAACTGCAAGTTTGACTTTGACGCCACATCAGCACCACATCCTCATGTGATTACCACATCAGAAAATAAAAAAAAATAACTTTTTTTCTTTCCAAATGAATACGAAAATCTCTTATTCGCTTCCCTTCCTCTTCCTTTCTTCTCATTCTCTCATATCTCCAGCCAGATCTACGATGCATCCCCGTCGTGTCATATCGTCCGCCTCAGCTACCACCGGTGTCGCCGCTCACATCGTCTGAGCCCGACCATGGCCCCGAAATCGGCATCAACACCTCCACTCCTCCTTCAATTTCTTCTCCCCGAACACCTTTCATCTTCCAGTGCGTGGATATTCACCTCTATCCTCCAATACCTCCGCAAATCTCTCCCTCCCGCTCTCCCTACTCCGCCTTAGTTGAAGGAGGCGCAACAGGACTACAATGTCCGCTACTTCCCCGTTGACGAGAAGGAGCAAAGGGAGACAAGTAGCATCGAAGGAAGCCGATGACGAGAGGAAGCAGGAGGAGGTCGGCGCTGTCGTCTGCCTTCTTCAACGACGACGGGCAGCCATTCAAAAGGTCTTGACGGTGGTGGATTTTGAAATCCCCAATCTAGGAACCCTAATCTTTTCATGGAGAAATCCCTAATCAGCCAATCATAATCGCTTCGTTTGTGAATATGGTTTGAGTTTTGAGTAACGGTCGCTGAAAATTTGACCTCGCCATTTATGACCGCCGAACCTGTCATCGATTTTCATCTCCCTCCCGATGGCGGGGCCAATCTCCGGAGCCTACTTCACCAACTATGCGTCACCCGCGATGAGTTGTGCAGTGGCTTGGGCTTGATGACGAGGGACACATGTTCGTGGTGCTAAGGAGGGTTCACGGCGAAGGTGTTTGATTTCCTAGAGCTAGAGGGCAGGGGATGTTTTTGCGATGGTGGTGTCCATGGAGGGGTACAGAGTAGGAGGAAGAGAGAGTACGAGGAAGGTGAAAGGTGGGGGGAGAGATGATGCTTTTTAATTTTTTTATTAATTGAATTAAAATAGAAGGAAAAAATATAAATAGATAAGTTAATGAAAATAGCTGCCACGTCATCAAATCGTTAATCCAGTCAGCTTTTATAATTTTGCCTTTAAAGTTATTGACGAAAAGACTATTTTAGTGTATTTCTCAAAATTTGGCTATTATTGTCACAAAGTGCACACTTATGGCTATACAGGTGTATTTTGCCTTCTTTAATTGATTAACCATCAACTTATAGCCACCCATTGCTTTTAAAAGGCCACCAGCACCAATAACAATAGTCACCATAAAATGACTATTCGCCGATCTAAATCATATGAAAATTACTCTACTGTACTTTCTGTAATTTTATTCGGGCAATAGTATTTTTAGCCAAACTATTCACGAATTCTAAAACATTAGCTCAATCATTGAGAATACAAAGTATCAGTCAAATTGTTCATAACGCTGCAAAATTATAGTAATTTTCCGCTAAAGTTAAGGTTAGACTTAACATAATTACATGTAACCTAATCGTTAGTCAATGTGTTTGACACATCAGCGCCATGTCAATTAAAAAATATTTTTAAATTTATAGGATAAATATTTCTAAAATTTATAGGATAAATATTATTTTTGAGTGTCAAATCACCAATTTATTCCATCTCAGCATCACATCCACCAGCTCATCATCATCTAATGAAAGTATTAATGAAAACTAATAGTTGGCTAATATTTCGTATTCTCCAAGCTAATACAACCCTGAGGGGGATTGTTTTTTATCAAAACTACGCAGCTTCCAATCAATCAAAGAGTATCCTTGATTGAACGAAAATATTGAACCAAAAACGAATGTTCTTGGGTGTTTGGATAAAACGGAATCAAACGTGCAATTCCACACTGGAGAAGGACTCGACTAGTATAAGGATAGATGCCCAACCACGATTGAAGTGTCTATTCAATCTATACAGACTCAACGAACTTGGAATACACCAAACTAAACACAAGTACGCAAACTTGCAACTACCAAACACTAGGTTTTCAATTCATCAAATTCTCTTCTTTTTATAACGAAAAGAAAGGCTGCTTATAGCCAAAATAAATCTAATACAAGTCTAGACTAACAAGGAAACTAATTGGAACAGAAAAGGTTACAAAATTCGACCTAAACAAGGTGTTTTGAACACTAAGAAACTAACTTAAAATGCATGTAAATCTGCCAAGAAAACAGCATTCATATGAACTTTGAGCTTCTGGAAAATGACCTTCTATCTTGATCCACACTCAGCCAATTCCTTCACATTATTTACAAAGTGTTACACTTTCATCTGAACTCGAATCTCCCTTCGAATGTACTCCAATCTCCACGAATTAGGCTCCAAAGATGGTATCTCAAATACGGTTTATGCCTTGGCCAAAATCATGCAGTTTTCTTGCTTCTTCATAGCAACTTGACAGCTTTGGAAAATAACCTTAATGACTTGTTTCCGGACAACCAAGCCTTCTAGCTTGTAGAGAAACACTTGATCTTCAATTCCAAGCCTTCCTTTTGCATTTTTATTGAGCCGATGGTGATGTATGGATTCCCAAAGTAGACACCCTGAAACGGCCTTTAGACAACCAAATTTTCACCCTTCTTTGGCCAATTGAGATAGCTTATTTGTCAAGCAACTGAGACTTGTAGAACCGACCATTTTGGATCATATCACAAGCTTTGGATAATTTTTTAGAACCAGTGGAAAGTTTTGCTAAAAAATAATATTTACCCTTTTTAATTTAGATCATAAATTATGAAATGAAAAATTATTCTTTTTGAATGTTGTGTAACTAGAATCCTTACATCTCTGCCACTGCTAGCTCATCATCATCTAACAGAAGTATTAACGAAGACTTAACCATTGATTAATATTTCATTTTCTCAAAGATTTGGCTAATATTTTAAAATTCGTGAAAGGTTTGGCTAAAAAATAATATTTACCCTTTTATTTTTCAAAACTCGTAGAACTTAAAATAAACACCCTTTGTTGGTTACTTTTTACTAGATTCTAAAGATATCGCCGAAGCCACGACCTTCGTCAATTTCGGTAGGAGTTAGGATGAATGTAAGAACTTAAAAAATGTTCATAATATATTGTTCTTCTAAAATTGTACATAAGAAAGATATTACGTGAATCATAGCTTCTATTAAATCTATGTATAAATTTTAAGTTGATGTCACACTCTTGTCTGGGCAAGAGAAGGATCCCATGGTTCTAGACCTTGGTGGAACTTGAGGTTGTTCTTGTTGATTCGTCATTGGTGGAGGTTGATGTCTCAAAACTCTTCTTGGATTCCGAAGGGTTCTCTCGATTTCTGCATCAAGAGGTAATATCTCCAAAGAGTCCCTTCTTCGCATACAAAAGTGTTATAAGACACAAACGCAACAACCTGTGATGCACCAAGTTGGATAACATAACACAAAGCGATAAGAACTACGAAAATAAAAAAACACAAACAAAAAAAAACAAAGAAAATAAAGGATAAACTAACAACTTGATGGTTTTCTAATAATTACCGAGGTTCCCCGGTAACGGTGCCAAAAAGCTTGATTGATTCATTTCGTGCAAGTCATTGTCAATGGCTAGCATGTTTCAATAAATATCCCATCCTAGACCAAGTTTAACCTAGAGTGGCGTTGTCATATAGTAGCAATCAAGATCGTATTCACTCGGGTCCCGGTACCCTAACCTACTTCCCACGTTGTTATTATCTAGCCGATTGGTTTAAGGGTTTGTGATGGAGGATTCAAGCGAAATAACTAGTAGAGAGAACTAATAAGGATAAAAGCAGGTACTTCGGGGAACTATCCCTCACCCTAGTCTAGGTCTACTATGCAATGCCTAAATAAGTTAGGTGTAGCGAATGTGGTGGGTGAGCTCTTTTCCGTGGGCTTTCATGGTCATCCACATGCCTTCGAGTATGCCTCCCC